GGGAATGCTGCACAGGTCACGAAGCAGCAAGGAAACCCAGCTCACCTATACGCAAGGGTCATATGCTTCTCGCCAGAGCGGTCACGGGATCACATTGCAAAAGGGAACGCTGGCAACATGGGGGAAAACGTATTTATTTCAGAAAACTTTGTACCGGTTATGGCAGCAAATCTCAGCTCAGATCAATATAACTGGAAGTAGTGAATGGGAGGATACTTCCTTGCCTCACTTCGTAAGTAGGCTTAAGGGCACTTTATACCTTGTTCTAGTCCGCGGAGGTTTTTACTCCACATCCATCTCAGCCTGAGTCAGATTCCCTGCTAACACAGTTACCTTGGTCTTGTTGAAGGGATCCTTATAAAGCTGGGGGGGAGCCCTTTTTAATTAATTCAAAAATCAGTGGGGCTATTACTTAACAAGTGTTCTAAGAGAAATCTGAATTTTATTTTAATTAGTTCTTGAAAGTTGTGTTGAGAATAACCCTTTAATACTTTCCCAGATGGTCTGGGCAGTTGTTTTTAGAAGTCCAGCTCCAATATCACAACCCAAGCAGAACCCTATCTGGAGCAATGAGATCCAGCCACATCTGAGGGGTTAGGGAAATACAAGGCTTCAGCTATTCACAATGGTCGTAAGAGGCCGGACCGTCCTAGTGCTACACCTCCTACTGATATGCAATGTTCAGGTTCTCCAAGAAGCAATTTTTCTCCCACGTCAAGCAGCACAGGCAAAGGCAATCCAGCCCGCAGACAATACTGTAGTATCATCCACATCCCGCACTTTTCCTGCAAAACCATCCCATGCAGTTGCTTATATCCTGAAATGTCACAGCTGACAACACACTCCAGTCCTCACGTTATTCTGCGACCTGCTGCTGAAATGAAATTGTGACAGGGCTTGAAGACAAAGTGCTCGGATAACTTGTACTGGTGCAAGCCCAGTGAGAGATTAAACAAACCCCTTCCACATCAGCAGCACCGGATAGGAGAGCATGCACTCCTTCCCAACCCTGCTCCATACAAGTGAACTCTTCTCAGCAACATAAAAAGGTGGGTATTAAATAGGGCGCCGTTGCTTTCCTGCCCTCTCAGATGCAAGCATTTTTAGCATGTGCCATCCACCCCACAATCAATGCCAGAGCCAACAGCTGGAGCGTGTTTACTCGTCCCTGCTGATACTGGACCGTGCATATGTTGATCCAGCCTCAATTTAGTGTGAAAGTGCAGGAAGTCAGCAAATCCAGCTGCAAGAACAGGTGCACGTGCAGATGTGCCCGGCATACTCCCCTGTGGTGAAGTGGTTAACACTGTAGACATTCATAAGATTGCAATTAGGATTCAAGATTAACCTGAATTAGACGCTGGGGGAATTTCACAGCTCTCTTCGTGCCATTGTTCCAGTCTCTCTGGCTGCAAACTTAACAAGACAACCATGCGCTGGTTTACCCTGCAAAGGCCATCTTTGCAATCAGGGAGGCCAGAAACTTCATTGAAATAAAAATCTTAGACCTCAGAGACAACAGCAAAAATGTCTGTGGCTTTTACCATAGCGCAGCTTTGAATAATCCCTAGAAGCAGAACAAACATCCCCGAGATATTACAGTCTCAGAGCCCAGTCACCCTCACATACCAAAGCAAAAGCAAGCTGAAGATCGCATTCACCGCATCACCACGAGCGTCATGTCTGGGCTTGTAGCTCCAAGGAGTCTTACCCTCGAGCACCGCTTCTACAAAGCGACCCCTGCATACTCTCAGCTATTTTATTCAGAAAAGCTTTCTGAGCATTGTAGAGACTGGAAGTAATGGTTTGTTCTCATGACACTGGATCATTATTTAACAGACAGTAAGCCAAAAATGAATGCATCCACCCTAAGACACTGATTTATAGTAAACAGTGACATACACTGCCTGGGAAAAGGAATAGCTCCATACCTTCAGAAAGCATTGGACATGGTACAAATGGAAGAAAAATACTGCCAACTGATATTAAACATTGACACCACGTCTCTGAATAGCCCAGCTATGTTCTCTTGATAGTCTCTTTTAATCAGAGGAGGCGGGAAACCGCTTTATTTAAAATGCCAATCATCATCCCATCATGTAAAAAAACCAACGAACCTGACAGACTCGAGAGGCACCAGATGCCAGGTCCGCACTCAGTGTAAAACGTCAAGACCTCGGGGCAACACACACAAGCGGAGAACCTATCCTCACACCTGTAAAACACACTTCGGCAACAGCAGCACCTGCCTTGAAAGGACACTCCAGTTCAGGCCACGGCGTTCCCACGGCCCCAATCCTGCGAAGATTTACTCACAGGTTTAATGCCGCTGGAGTCCCCGCAGCGCGTACACTTCAGCACTTGCTTTAGCTTTGGCACACCCAGGATTTAAAGAACACAACTTGTTTAACTGGACAAAATGCTGCTGTGTCTGTGCCCTGCCTCTGCCCTACAGAAAGGAATAGCTGGAGAATAAGGAAAGAAAATACAGGATTTGTGATCAACTGTATGCAAATCCAGCTTAACAGCAATATTACTGCATACGGATGGTATCTTCTATTCACAACCGCTGCGCCAGTTCCCTGGGCCTGAAAAGTCCATTTGCTGATGGAAAACAGGAGCCCTGCTCACTTACCAAGGAGTCGAGGAATTTCTGTTGAATCACCTGAAAAAGGTAAATACTGGGAAGGCTTGGGAGCTTTTCTAACCTGCCTTTCAGTGACATTATCAAGAGTCTGATAAGTTTCCCTGTCACTCGTTAGAAATCCAGGAACAGGAAGAGAGATGCCAAGAACTGTATCAGCTTTCCTCTAACGATGCTTGGGAAAACTATGACGAGAGGCAGGAAATGACGGTATTTATAGGCAGTATCTGAAGAAAAAGGCAGCAAACACACACCACCGAGCAGCCAGGAGGCTAGATCAGGGAGAGAAAGCTCCTTTCTCCTATGGTACGATATGCAGGGAGCGGGAAGAGATCAGGTCGGGCTCCGTGATCTACTGGCCAAAGGGGCTGGAGCAGAGTCCAGGGTCAAGGCCGAGGCAGGGATCCCAGAGCCTTCCCGAACAGGTGACGGCGCCTCCTGGGGTCTCACCAGCTCAGAGGCTGGGGGGATAACTTTTCAAGCATTATCCTTCCTTCGTATCACCTCCTATCTGAGAACATTATTTATAAATCAGAGATGCGGAGGGCTGAACGGGCCAGCAGAGTTACGCACGGTTAAAATTATAACACGATGCTGTGCCCCGTCTCCACACAGCTTGCATCACTGCGCTGGGGTCAGCGTCTCCCGAAATAAACCTAGTTTATTCATAGATCAGACTTCATGAAAAAAACCCAGGACTACTATCCTTGAAACCGTACCTACAAAGCAAACAGACTGCTGTCTCCCCAGCTATCAAACAGGCACGGTCCTTTCATCAACACTGATAGGATATGGTTAATATGAAATAACAACAATCTAGTACCCCGAGCACTCTCTCCCGAGCCGTAATTTAAATAAAAGCGCTGTGAAGTTAGTCAGAAAGGCACTGAAGATCTTCCCAAGCAATGCAGCAAAATACCTTCAGCTATAAAACTGAGTCACCCTCTTCTGCACTGTCTCTTACTGGAGAAACACAGATTGTAGACTGTATAATTTGAGGCAACTGGAATATCTGTAGCAGGGGAAGAAGAAGGATGAGCACAGGAATGAGTTACCACAGCTAATGCTTCCAGCAGCCTAAAACGCATCGACTTCAAACAGGAACCGCATAGGAAAAACACGACCGATTTGATCACTTGAAGCCTTCGACTGAGGAAAGGCCCTTCGTCTCTATTGCAACCGAAACGATTTCAATCCCTCCCGGACTCTGGAAGGGAACAGGCTCGGCTGTAGAAATATCTTCTACAAACTACTTCTTTGTTACGATCTCACTGCTATTTATCCTGGAAGTGTCACCCGTCATCTCGTTTGCAAACGAAATCCCTTCCTCTTCCAGGTGCGACCTGTTCGTAGGCTTGCTTAATAATGTACTCGACTGTTTGATGGAAAATCACGTTAGCATACGGCGCACTCAAATCCACCCGACAATACTTGATCGTGGACAGCTGCTGTTCTTACAGACGTAAGGGAGGGGAAAATAACGGGGCTACACGGCCAGGAACCTTGCTCGGCGCGGCTCCCGCTCCCGCTCCCGCGGCTTTCAACCCACGGTCCGCAGACCCCGGGGGGCAGGCGAGGGCTAAGGGGCCGCGAAAGGCGACGGCGATCGAGGCGAAGCGTGCGAATACCCGCACTTACCGCCCGGACGGGTCCGCGCCTCCTCTCGCCATTGTTTCGGGGGTCTGCAGATGAAAAAAGGCTGCGAGCCGAAGGATGCATCAAGACATCTGCGCTGGAAACGAGGAACGGTTCCAGCCGCGTCCCTTTCTGTCAAAAAGTGCCCGAAGCGGCCGATCTCGCGAACTTCCCAGTTACCCTGGAAACATCGCCTCCCCCCTGCTTGCCACCAAGCCTGCCCGCGCCCGCGCCCGCCACCGAGGAGCGCCCCACCTCGCACGACGGCGCGTCAA